CCGGTCAGCCCCTGTACTGGGCTAGGTGTCCATATGGCTTGATTTCCTGCGGGCAATCCCATATGTGTATTCTTCCACGGTAAGGTTTCCCTCTCTGTAAACCCGTGTCTTCCCTTTGACAGAGTGTTCTGTGAGTCTCTGCTGGCAGTTGTTCCATCCCTACTCTCAGGTAGGACCTGCCTCAGAGACCCATTCCACATGTAGTACTGCCCCAGGCCTGGGTCAGTCCATATGAGAATCTCCACATGTTACCTCCCTACAGGTAGGGTGTGGCCTCCGTAGTGCCTTTCTCCGGAAGGCTTGCTTCCCCATCGTTTCTGCCTAAGCTGTATACTACAAATCGGAAAGACTTGAAGCAAATCTTTCGTTGAAGGTCGAAATCCCTTCTGTTAAGAAATTTCTGTGGGAAAAGGAACAATGGCTTGGCTATCTCCAGCAGCGATGTGTTCACCTGTGGTCCCTGCGGGTACCAAGGCCAGCGAATTTGCGCTGGGGCGGTTGGAAGGTTACGACCTTTGCATAGCGTTTGTCTGACACACGGCCGCTTGCCAACATTGGCTACGTCATGGGGTTGTGACGGGGTTCAGGTTGTGGCGCTTTCCAGGGCCCCATAATGTCGATCACGACATAATTCGTAGTGACCGATAGATAGGGAACGTCTCGGTCATGTACTCATGACATAACTCTTAGTGACCGACAGATAGGGAACATCTCGGTTACGTACGTAACCCTCGTTCCCTGATGGAGGGAACGGAGACGTTATGTCCCCTTGCCACAACCTCGAACCATCGCTGGCGGCCAGGGACAAGTTCTCGGCTCCTCAGCGTAAAACCTGAAGAGTGGATGCACCTGTCGCCTATTTATACCCGTATGCCCAGGGAGTGGCTCAGGCATGCAAAATCCACTAGCCAAATTTCATTGGTGTTTTCTCTTAAGGTCAGAGATGATTGGGGTTCCTAAGTGAATCCCCATAATGTCGATCGCGACATAACGTCTCCGTTCCTTCTATCAGGGAACGAGGGTTACGTACGTAACCGAGATGTTACAGAGTAGTGTTATGAGAGAGAGATGGACTGAGCGAGTGTGATTACCTGCATCTGATATAGCAATCATTCTTCAGCTCAATCTCATATTCACAATAAAACATTAGTTTGAATGTCCGTTGAGAAAAGTGATAACTATTTGCTCTGGAACAAATAATAGATTAATAAGACCAAAGACTGCCCGTTAGATTTACCTAAAACGAATAATATCTC